AGAGAGAGAGAGAGAGAGAGAGAGAGAGAGAGAGAGAGAGAGAGAGAGAGAGAGTTAGAGAGAAGAGGGGGAACTAAGCTGAATAAGTAATTTCTTTTGCAGCAATCAAACTCCTTCACCATAATGCATAACTCATGCACCAACTAGCCCACCACAGGCACTGCAAAGTGCAAATGAAAATGATTTTGCAACTCTTTCACTCACAAACAGGTGGTGGCATCCGACCCCACGCTGTTGCTGCTGGTCAGAAAAGCACAGACATTATGTAACTAATCATTTGGTTCTTCTAAAAAGCAGTCCAAGAAATGTTATCCTTGTCATGTTATCCCTGAACACTCAAAATATTCCCCCATCAATCATATGCACCCAGTAAGCTTCTGATATGGATCTCTCTATACAATGAACTTCTCTCTGGACACATATCATGCACTGCACGCAAACAAAACGTCGTGTCAACATTTAAACGCTAATCGGAACTCCCCCCGCCGGCCGTGCCCACCACTCAGCAGGGGGCGCCGCGGTCACGCACCTGTTCGATGCGCACTTGGTTGGCAGCTAGCGCCCTCCTCGCGGCAGCGTCCTGGTTCTGCAACTGCTGCCGCGTGGCTTCCAGCGTCGTCTGCAGTTCAGCAATCGTCCGCTCCATCTAGCAAAGACGCCATGACGCTCTCGTTAACAATGTCGTTATCAATTGCTCGATCGCAGCCTAGCTACGGCTTGTATTGTAATGTGTGCCAGACATTCGTTGTGCAATTATAGAAGAACATAGCTTGTGTTAACTTGTGTGTTACTGTGTGCTACAGATTTGTTATGAAAGCAAATCGTCGATCAGAGAAGTTGTATTAGCTATTGGGACTATTGGCACTGAAAAGATATCATGAATCTAATTATCTTATACTTCTTTAGTTATTTGAATTTAATAATGAAATACAGCTAAATGTGCAATTTATCCTGTCAGTATCCGTTTTGACTCAATTTATCCTTATAAACATTTTTTGGCAACTTCGTTCAATATGACATAATAACAGATGTTGACATACATGTGTATAGCTATATACAGTAATTAACAATAATATAGTATGATAACATTCCCGCCCATCTTCAAGATAATGATGCAATTGTGAAAAAAATGATTACAGCAAATTCACGAAATATATAAGTATATTGATGAAACAAACCTCTTACACTATACTACCTATAGCTTATTATTGTAAAGTTTTATCACCTGCAGATGATATAAAACCGGTCAAACAATACTATGGAAACACGTTAGCTCTTTTAATTTAGGTCTGATAAAATAAAAACAATCATAATTGATTATTGGTTGGTTATGTGTAAGTTATTATCGATTATAAATTATAAACGAGAGACTTAATTGCGCCTAGCAATCAAGATCTTCGCACGCCGATCGATAGTGGCGAATGTTCCCCCGGTACGCACCTCTTTGGTTTGCGCCAGGTAGATCTGCTCGCTCTCTCCTGTCTGCTGTGCGAGCGCGGTCTTCTCCCCAGCGGCCACCTCGCACTGGTTCTTCTGCTCCGAAACCTTCCTCTCCAGCCTGAAGCATGACGACACTCATGTGATCTCGTGCAACAAACATCCCCTATCCGCTATTCTATCTGTAAGACTACCAGCGTGTTTGTGGAAATGTGTGATATCCATACTATTCAACAATGAGTTGTACAGCATCGGTAGGCCTATTCAAAGCAAGCCCGCGACATTGCGGTAGATCATCGTAATTCACTTTAGATTCGATTTACATTCATGATATATTAGACACAGAGAATCTTTTACGTCGTAGAATTGATACACTATGAGGAGAACATGCAGAAGTGGTCTCCTCCACCTTCTGAACCATTCTGGCTTCTCCTAGGACAGTGAGCTGTATGTGAGCAGGAGAGGAGGGATGAAGACTGCCTCGTCTTCCAGTGAGAAACTAGTTATTATGCAGACTTCATCTTCTCAAAGGCAGTGCTTCACTAATAGTAATACTGCTAAATATCATCTGCTTATTAATAATTATCTTCTTTAGCAAATGATATCTATCATACATGCCTTGCTATATCATGACAATGTTTACACTATGCCTTTGCAATGTAATACAGGATGCTTGATGACCAATATCGCGAATACGTACTTTGCAATCAGTTTGGCTTGCTCCATACATTGCTGCTGTAGCTCGTGAAGTTGTGGTAGAACTTTGAGACCGTTTGGCAGTTGGTACAGCTCTTCTGCTTGTACCACACCATTGTTCGACAATGCCGCGTCTTCACTAACCTCCTGCTCCGGCGCGCAGATTTGAATGACACCCGAATCGTCTTCACAACTGCCTTCAACTACAGATTTGGCCCCTCCTTGTCTTCTATCAGGATCGGAATGTACTTCGCTCTCGGACGTTTGCTCGACTGCGCTAACACGGTCGCTTATCACAGATAGTTCCTCCAGGCCAGGTGTGGCTACAACGCAACCAAGCTCAGTGTTAGCTGTGGGTACTGTGGGTGTTAGCTTGCTTGCGGCACATTGGACGCCGTTGTTCAATTTGTCTCCTTCACGCGTGTCGGTGGCATCGGCCATGTTCGATGGTCCCTCAGGAAACAGAGTGCCCGTGGATTCGTGGCTACTATTCTGTTCATCTTTACAAGAAACACTGTCTTGCACTACCAGTACCACCTCAGTGCAATTTGACGACTGTCCGTCCAACAAATGTGAAATTGCATCTTTTTCGCTACTTTGGTTGCCGTTAACTTGGTCATCGCTTTCTCGAACGCCTGGATGAGAGTCATCTACTCTGCAATCCTCAGTAACATCGCATGGTGCTGAATTGTGAATGGTTGGTGACGCAGATGATTTGCAACTTGCCATCACAGAATCTGTGTGATTACTAGCACTTCCCTCATTTTCTGCGCAATTAACATTCGCTAGTTCTTCCGAGCACATTCCTGGCCATATCATCTCCTCTGCATTTGTGCAGGACGTTGCCACGTTTACGTCAGAAGATTGACTTGAAATCTGCGAATCGTTAGACGCAGCTTGTTGACTACACCGTTGCTGACCGTCAAACTCATCAGCTGTTTGCCCCTTCTCACCATGGCTATTGACGTGGGTTGACACTGCTTCAACTTCCTCTACTGACATTTCCTTCGCTATATGCTCGCCACCTTCGGTCTCGGTAACACCTGAAGGTTCAGCATTGCCCGTGCAGCTTTCGACTAGTGACACATCACCACCTCTCGCCTCATAACTGATTTCGACCTCATTTCGATGCCGGTCACCAGAGTTTTCGCATGCCAATGGACTAGATGTATTTTCTTGTCGATAGGTATCTTCATCAAGCATCAACGGGTCGGGTGTATTCGTCTGCTGATCATCTGGCTCATCGCTCCGAGTCGTTTCCATACTTTTATCAGGCTCGAGTGTGCTGCTCTCATTCTCCATACCTTCCTAGCAGCCGCTGTGCAAAATAAAAACACATTTCTGCTGTTGCTCAATCGGGTTGATTGCTCAAGACTAGTATGAGACCCCAGGTATATACAGCTCACAATATATGTAACCAAGAGCTAATAAATAAATAATACCTAGAGTGTACAACGGGAAAACGGGAAAATAGTGCTATTTCACGACATGATTATTCTACTTTGTCTGCGAGTCTAGAATATGTTCATGGTATTGCGTTAAGCAGCATTCTTTGTTCTGTAAAACAAGACCAACCGCTTGTCTCTACGATACTCCTAGGCCGACATATTGGATCGTAATCATGCCTCCCACACTGGCCTCACGACACCTCGATACCACATATTCCCGAACCTTTGCGCGCTTAAGCCTTAACGCATTAGAGAAGGCGCTTCGTGAGAGTTCGGTTTTTTCCGCGATGACTTTATGAATGAACGGCGTTTCGGTTATCATCAGTGGCTTTCGGGGGGGTCACCTAGGCCATTATCTCCCATTATCTTTCCTAGCATGGCTAATGCCCGTAATGATGGAGCCGGCAATATTTTCTAAATTAATTCTCTACAACGCAGCTCAGTTACTATGGCTAATAGGATCTATGTCCCCCCAGGGTACTGCCAGAACGTACCCTGGGTACGGTCCGGTATACCGGAACGTACCCTGTTAACTATCTGATATGGTTAGGGTTAGGGTTAGGGTTAGGGTTAGGGAGTAGGCGTAGGCAACTCCCTAGACTCGTTAGTGGAGTAGGCAAGGTACGGTCCAACATATTAGATAGTACCAGCAGAGCATATATATAAATTACGTTGATATATATGCTCTGGTACCAGGGTACGTTCCGGCAGTACCCTGGAGGACAGAGACCCTCTCAACGTTACTATGGTGTAGTAAGAGTACCAAATTTGGGCATGTGACATCAATTATCAGCGCTCCAAGCGGCGATGAAAAAGAATAGCCAAAATCGTTAAGGTTCGGGAATATGTGGTGAGGCCACTGTGGGAGCCGGGAGGCATGATCACGATCCAATATCCCGACCTAGGAGTATCGTAGAGACAAGTGGTTGGTCTTATTTTAGAGAGCAAAGAATGCTGCTTAATGCAATACCATGAACTTAGTCTAGACTTGCAGACAAAGTAGAATAATATTGTCGTGAAATAGCACTATTTTATTATTAGCTCTTGACGTCACATATATAACTAATCCAGGGTGCTAAACTAGGATTGGGCCGGTTGATTCTAGGTTTGCTAACTACTCTTAACAATAACATGGCTAAATTGAATTCCAATTAATGATGCGCCTTGTCAATGTCATCATGGCCCGGTCACGCAGGTTGTTCTGGGAAAGTGAACGCCACTGACCAAGTAATGTACCTTCATTTCTTTGGGGAGTGGTGGCGGCGCAACTGCACCCCTTGCCACAGACTATGCAATGCTACCATTATGGCATTAATGATATTGTTGATAACGTCACGAGTAATTGTAGTTTTGACTTTTGTACTCCGTTGAGTTCACTGACACGTAGGCCCTACTACTAGTACTAGCCTACTGTTCAGTGTTCTGACTTCTGACTGTTCAGTGTTCTGTTCAGTCACTCTTACACATTTTTACATTTACTTAACTGACAGACATTTGAGCACTTACGGAATATGCATAAGGCCTCACACAATGATGCTGGCACCTATGTGTTGACATCCACTCGGCTGCAGCGTCGTAGGAAACGCCACACATATGCCAACTCACACTAGGTACAGTATGCGAATATCAACTTGTTTTTCTGCGACGTGCAACATGGCGAAGACTTCTTTCGAGCGGTACTATTGGTTGCCGGGTGAAAATGTTAACCAATCAAACGGTTGGATTCAACTGGGGAAATGAACACGAGGTGTTTTTCCTCCATCATCGATGCATTGTTACTACCCTTCTTACTAGCGTGGAGCTGTTGATACCTCAGATAGAGACTCACCTAGTCTATCGTTTTATAAACACCTTGGCCTTGGTTTCTGTACAACTTACAGTAAGTATATTAGCATTTATAATTTGAAGAATTACGGTGTATAGTTATTTGTAGTTCTCGTGTAAAAAGCTGTGGTCAAAACCACTGGCAGCAAGATCAAGCCCGCACGTACAGCACACACGCGCGCCATTGACTATATATATATACAAGTTGTATATATATAGTCAATGGCGCGCGTGTGTGCTGTACGTGCGGGCTTGATCTTGCTGCCAGTGGTCAAAACCGTGCCGGTGTGCGTCCGTGACATCAGAAATGGCCATGGCCATGGGGTCAACTCGCAGCTAGGGCCTGCATACCTCCCAAATCCCATTGGTTGATACAAATCACGTGCCTGAAACTCCTGTTTTAATAATTCATTTTATGGTGCATTGTGACCCTAACCCTAACCCTAATTCTAACCCTAACCATAATCCTAACCCTAACCCTAACCCTAATCCTAACCCTAACACTACTTAGAATTTAATTTAAAAAATTAACAATAATTGTATCAACCAATGGGAGTTGGGAGGTATGCAGGCCCTAGCTGCGAGTGTGGGGTCACGGGTCACGTCGGGTGGTCGTCAAACCAGACGTAGCTCTAGTATTACTATTAGTAACTATAGCCCGCGTACAGTTGCCGGTTGCCAGCGGCAACTGTACGCTGGCTATATAGTACTAGTAGTAGTAGTTAGTAGTACTAGAGCTAGAGCTAGACCAGACCAGGCGCTACTTACGCCGCATGCAATGAATGAATGATTATGATGCATTGTCATTGCCAAGACCAATAATGCAATATATGAATATTGAATACTACCGGTAATCGGTATATTGTGCCCTATAGATTTTTATGAGCTGGCACTTTCCTGGTAGCGTATGTAAATTTTTTGATCACAATTTATTAGTAGCCATGTTTACAAATGACGAAATGCCACATTACCATGCAACAGCCATACCACCGTACCTCATATTCATAATCTCATAAATAATAGTATTCAAAAGTCCAAGGGACTATAATATAACGAAGACGGAGAGACAAGTTGATCAAATCGACAGATCAACACTGCGGATCCGTGCAGACAAAGCCGCAAATGGGGTTAGCCGCTAGCTTTGTCAGCAGGTGGCGCAGCGGGCACGAAGTGGTTGCAGAGCCGGTTGTGCAATGACCCATGGCAGATGGAAACATACAGCGATCACGCACAGCCGATACTATATTTTGATCAACATATCAGAACAAATCGAACATATTTATACCTAACTTTAAGAGCTGATAGTACTATAAACCCTAATATATAAGTTTTGCTCAATGTCTGTTGAGTGTTGATATAATCGAATAAATAGCCAGATGTCTCTAGGTACTAGAACCGCGAGTCGCGTAAGTTTATAACCACCTGCGATCGGTTTATTGTGACTATTTTGATCAACATATCAGAACAAATCGAACATCTCTAGGTACTAGAACCACGAGTCACTCAAGTTGGGGCATGTATACATTAGGTGATCCATTAGGCCTTATACTTATGTCAGTGATAGCTATGGTGGAGCACGCCGTCAATGCTCAAAGGAAAATCCTAACTTCATGCAGAGACAGTTGTTTGTGATAGACGTATCGCATCTAAGAGGATTCGTGTAGAGGGTCATTGGTGTAAGCAAGACATTTAAGAGCCAGTTTTTATAAGAGTCCGGCAGGCAGTGATAGATGATCCCTTCGAATTTGACCAAATTTGTTGTTGTTGGTAGATATATGTTTATGATTGACAAAAATTACATTTTTGATCCTCAATATGGTCTCTTTTTTTCAGGGGGATCCTAGAAAATCGGGGGGTCTGCGGGGGCCTAATTGACAAAGTAACCAAAAGTGGTTTTTTAAAGGCCAATATTTCTGTGTGCTCTAAGTCAGCCACAAAGATTTTAATTTGTGGGACTCTATGGGGCAATGACTTTCCAAAAATGCGAAAACCTTGGTGGCTGAATTAGGGCGCAGCCAAAGTAAAGGCAAACTTATAATATAATATATATATAAATATATATATATATTCATTTATTTATTTATTTATGCCATTCAGCTAGCATAGGAGCATAATATTTTGAGACAAGTATAGCCATACTCAGTTAAGTACACACTGTTTAGCTGCCAAGCAGTTACCCGGGAAAGTTGTGCCATCATCCGACCTTACCCGGGTCACTTCTGGTTTACCAGTAGCTCCAAGAAACGGTATTGCTAGGGTTAGAATACCGTTTCAAATATTGCCTGCAGCTAAACACGTAGTTGTCTTATTTGCCAAGTATCGCCAAAGAACACTTCACATGTGATATACCAAATGAATCAGTATACATCCACCTTCTTGTAACCATCAGTGCGCTACGATGCGCTGGGTACTTACTTACGGGGTTACAGCGACTTTTTGAGACGAATACAACCAAATTTATGAATTTGCCACCATGTTTGCTATTCATTCTCACGAGCTGGTGACTTGGTACACTAAAATCCGCACAGTTGGACTTCGACACGAAGGGAATTCAACACGCGGTCATGTAAACCAACAGCCTACAATTCTCCGGAGAACATGTGCATCTAACGTTTTTTACAAATGGCCCAGACATTTGTGCAACGCAGTCGTTTCAGCACTTGCTTTGGTGTGTACAAATTACCGTGAGACGTGCCATCCGTGCAGCTATTGTATCCTATTCGTATATTTTCTAGCAGAGTCTTTTCCGTTTGCGGGTTTTCCATGTCCTTCTCTTCCCCATTGCACCATTCGCGCCACGTGTATAAACATGGCGCCCTTCAACAGCTGATTGGGAGAAGTCATATGCTGTGAGAATTAGCACATTAACGTCCATTAATAAGAGATACAGCTTTTCTATGATATTACGATAGCAAGAGAACAGCTGTGAGGTTAAGCCGTTTCATTGATTTCAACCAAAGCCCATCAAAGCAGTGAAGTGAATTAAAAGTTTTATTTTGCAGACAAGCTTCCTCGGTACCGTGCAGTTGCGCTGCGCCTGTAATCAATTCACGTGCTACTAATTCAATACCTACTAAATAATGGACACCAAATAGAACAGGGAACAATCGACAATAACGATTTGCACAAATATAATACTTTAGCAATCAATCTAATAAATAATAAGATCCGGGAAAAACTGGTTACGGTATGTACAAATTATACAGCACAGACCCAACTTACTAACCCCTGGACGACATAATTAAGGTAATATGGTGGTAAAATAAGAATAAAAAGATTATATCACCACAATGTTACGAAAGTTTGTACTTTGCATTCTTGAAAAGAGCCTCGGTCGATAAACCGTGTTTGTCGTTTTACCTGGGTGGAAATATCTGGTATAAGACCCTGGGTCTCGAAACTTTTAGCTCCCCGTAACGACAGGCCTTGTATGCACGTACGGCAGTAAAGCATACGAAATGGTTGCGCTTACTCATTTATCCAGAAGCCTGATGATAAACAATTGCAGTCGTTAACCTCATCTGAAACTGCTGTGCTTCTTGTGTTTTAGCTCGGTTGCTTTGTTCTCCGTTCGGTTCACAATAGCCCACAGCTTGATTGAATGTGTGATACGATTTGTTTCTCTGTGGTTGGCTATGCAGTCAGTCATGCGACATTTGTGTGAAGATCACGAATTTGAGCTGTTTTCCAGCGGATTTTTCGCTGAGTTGTGACCGTTTGCAGATTTTTTTCACTATGAACACTCCCCGCGATATCAAGAGATGGGCCCTTTGAAAAATTGTCTATCCAGAAATCGCTTGGCCGCGCTTTGGCCGCTCTATAGGGAAGATACACCACACTACATTATCAATTACATCATACGAAAATGCATAGCGAATTTCAAACTATATATTAGAATAATTACATGCCAGTATACTACCTGCATCTGAGACTCTGCCGGAGGTGACTAGGTTTTTTGGTTCATGGAAGGGTGTCAGGCTGTATAGACAATCCGTCGCACAGCCTGGTCGGGCTAGTTTACCAGTTGAACATGACTGTTGTTAACTCGAAATTTTTTTACAAACTTTTCATGGAACACGTGTAATGGCCACTTTAAAATGCAATGTTATGCCAAAAAGTGGGCTTCCCCCGGCCGCCACAGGGATGCATACTGACCCAGCCACCCACAGTGTGATGAAATGCAGCAAGGATTCTATTTAAAAAAAGAAGACATAATTTGCATAAGGGTTTTACCCCTTTTCTTCGACCAATAAACATAAAGTGCATGAATACTCAGCAAAATGGTCTATAATTATTTGGCATTCCCAGCACTCATTGGTTGATTTGCACGCGTAATGCCATTGTAGCAGTTTTATATCGCGACATAGGGACAGATTGCAAGGACAAGATTGCAAGTGCGAAATCGGTGTCCTTGTGTACGACGCGACGTATACACTATACAGTGTGATTTCCAGTGAGGAGGTCAGTCGTAAAACATGTCATTAGCATTCGCGAGAGAAAGGACGCGAACTACGGGGGTTCGCACCGTCAACATGCATAAGCCGAACAAAGGCTGTTGGTTACTAACCCACCGTAGAGCACCGAGACCGGCTGACCGACCCGGGTGATAGAAAGTGGATATTCCTTTAAGAGGCGACGAGATGGAGAGGGGGAGGCTGGCTAGAGAGAGGGGAGAGTGACGCGACGCTCAACGTGCATTGGGCAGTCACAGTTTGGAGTTGACTATGCAGGCTGTGTCATGT